TCGTTGTCGCGCCAGCACCTATACTGCAGTTGAAAATGTTGTTGCGTTATTTTCATTTTTAAAAATGCCCAGAAATTGGAAATTTGTTCGCATCCCTCCACTTAGTGGTAAGAACTTTGGAAAGGAAATATACCCAAAAATCTAGGAAAATCTATGCGTTGCGGTTGAAAAAAATATCAAAGAATACACACAAATTTGTTTGGGTATAATGTGTGTCTTGCTCCCCTCTACCACCCATTCTTTTACGTACTATTACTTTATTATTACAGATTATTAGAGAAAAAATTACAAAATCGGCGATACCAAATACGTTTATTTTGAATTTTTGCATTGAAGTTTACAATGTATTTCTTATGGCAATAATTCCATGGCCGATAGTGATTGAAACCAACTCTATTCGTTTATTGTCTAGAATGTCTAGCATAGTCGCCGTCAACACGGCTATGGAATTATTGCCATAAGAAGTGCATTGTAAACTTCAAGCCAAAAATTTAAAATTAACTTCCAAATAAAATAAAATAAAAGTATTTGGTGCCGCCGATTTTATAATTTTTTTCTTTAACGAGTGACATTAAAATCCAATATGGCGTCCATAAGAAATAAGAAAGTTGATGTAATTTACTGGAAACCCACGAGTCATAAAAATTTTATATTAGTACCATCAGAAAGCTGAGAAAAGATCACTAAGGGCTTATTAAAAGTTTTTTGATATTTGTGTTGTAAAATTCCCGTAATTTATTTATTGTTGCGAATATTATATACTCGATTCTATACTAGACTATACTAATTACAATTGACGTAGCCGAGGCCGTAACAAATATTGCACCTTCAAAACAAAACTCTAAACATCCAGACAGATTAACGAAAACTCGCTCAAAAATTCGAAGATAAGAACGAAGATTCAAAAACTTCACAAAAACCTAAACCATTCACACAAATGTGAATACCAAAGCAATGAAGAACTTTCCCGAGAAGATGTACTGCACGTGTGGTTATTAACGTTTGCGTATCCTAGTAAAATCGACAGTTGGCCGTTTAAAATCAAGCTCGAAAACAAGTATAAACTGGAAATTTCGAAAGAATGTTCTCGTGAATATGCGGGGAATATTCGGTATGCGAATATTCTCGAATATTTCCGGAAATATACCAAAATTCGCTTACAAATATTCGCGCCTCACAACACTAAACTAAAAAATATCTAAATAATTGTTAGCTCTGATAGATACGCAAGAAATATCAAAATCATTATATGCCCACCAATTTACACTAATGCACATTTGATGACCTGCGAATATTGAACTTTTTGTGTTTTCAGTGACCGCATGTGACGTGGAGGTGTGAGCTCGGTGAGAATTATTAATCATTCGTCAGACGTCCAAATACATTTGCTTGATGTCCTAGAAGTAGATTTGAAGCATTTTCTGTACGCACAACGATATACAGGGTGTCTGAAATGGAGGGTTATTATGGAACATAGATTAAATGGGCACTGTTTAGCGGTTTTTATATTGATTTAAATTCGGTTTAGAAAAAATTGTGACCCAATTAGAAATTATGAAAAAAATGAAAATCACCGATTTTTCTGATTTCGAAATTGAAGTTTATTCCGAACGTTTCATAATTTCATAGGACAAACCGAAAAATGATTAAGAAATACGATACGATACTCTATTTATTTATTTATTATCACTCTCTTGTTCTGGGCCCTCAACAGTGATAAAGATATTAATTATTTTTGTAAAATCAGCTCGAGCCTGTGTCTAATAATTGCAAGTCGACCTGAACCAGCATACAAAACTATGCCCATTTAACTTTCTCCTCGACTTTCTCCCTATCTTTAGTAATAACAAAGTTCTGAATATTTGGAACCCCCTGTATATCGGGAGAGACGCAGTGATCAAATATACTTACAGGATGGATGATTTCTAAGCAAAACAAAAAACATTATAATTTTTTTTCCTTATACGTAATTCATACTTTCCCCTCGTACTTTCCACTATTATCTCTTTCAGCTGAGCTTTCATCCTGGCTTTTACTTCATCATTTTTAGCCAATTTATATAGAATTGATTAATTAGAAAATTGCAATTTGCTGAATCTGCAAGAAGCAAGATCTTAAAATAAGAGAAGAGCATCCCCTCGAGATCATGATGGATACTGGTAAAAGCATACTCGTAGATTACCTAGTCTACTCTACAATATCTATTCTCGTCGTGCATAACCTACGTAATCAACGCAACATTTTATAGGTAAGCGACACGACAACAACCCTAAAAACCGATATAATAATGCAGCATTGCAGTAATAACATACAAGGCGAACGGAATACAACCATTTGCGGGTAGTCAAAAATGATCTTTCAAGACATCAACTTAGCTGCACTCATCAAATGCTTTCATGGTTCAGCGCTGTCACCATCGCCCCTCAAAAATTATATTTTCCAGACATTTCTACAATGGGTCCTTCGAGGGGGTCCTTTTAATAAATCGATGATATTCGGG